TCATCTTCATCCAATACATGAAATACTTAGCCTAGCATATTGTTATGTAAATTACACAAAAAGATATAGAAAGACATCACCCTGAATGGAAAACAATGAATTGAAAGTGAAAAATCAATTTCTTCTACGTAAATCTTCAACCCGAACTTTAAATCTTCAATCTTTTGTATTAATTGTCTCTGAAACTTGTGTTTGCCTCCTCCTTGTGGTCAAAATTAGGATCTAATATATTCTATCTCTTCCTCACGCTGTCTTCCCTCAAGAGAATATGTTAAATTTGATTTTTATAAGAATTTGGGTAAAACAAGGAATTTGGGCCATTCAGGCCAGATATAGCTTGCGCGCACGCTGTTCATAGGTTTTGGGCTCGATAAATAAACCTCATGCCTGTGCGCGCGTGACGTTATAAAATTTTTCATTTGTTGCACTTTGGTCCCCAAATTTTCATTCCTTGGTTATTTTGGTTCTTTCTTCTATTTTCTTAATCCTCCATCTTCCAACTACATCTAATTTGCTCCAACATCCCTCCAATCATCGATTCTAGGTCTGAATCATCTATTAACATTTTGCAAATTAGTCCCCAAACTTTGGATTATGTCCACTTTAGCCAATTTTCTGCTCCCTTTCTTCAATTTCATTATTTTTCATCGAGATGCACCTAACAAACAAAATATATACGAAATTAAGCCACAAATAATTTAAAATAACAATACTTGCTCTAATTTAATGGTACAGCTAAGTATAAAATACATTTATCAATAGATAAAGGTAATCAATAAATTGCATTATTAAGAATGTTGATAAGAGCTAATATAAGAAATTAGATGAAATATCCAAAAGAATGCAAGGGAAATGGTCATAAATAGGTAGATTAAACTAATAATTACACACTTATCAACATTAATTAGGGTCACTTTCACATTATAATATATTAATCCAAGTTTTGTATTAACTTTCTCATTTGCTTTCACGTCCTTCATAAACTATACATTGCCCATCTGTCACCTTTCGGACCCATATTAAAACTGTACCCAATCATTTACCACCTTCCCCATTTCTTGCTTTCATCAAACTCTCACTCACACACACACACCCAAATCTTCCCCAAAAAGTCACTTTAATTCATCAGCGGTGTAATCACTTAATCTGGGCCAAGTTCATGGGGAGTAGATTCATCAACAACCAGTTTGTAAGTGAGGTAGAAGATGCCGAAAATTCGCCTGAGAACAGTGCAGATTCGCCCACCTCCGCCATGTCTAACGATACCAAGATGACTTTCACTTCGTCTCCAAGGACAAGGTCTGTAAATAACTCGATACATAGTATTAATGCATACTTAACCAACTTTTACTGTCTAATCTCTAATCCACCTTATCAAACGTGGCAACACGATATAGGGATCTGTATTTGTATGTATGCGAGAGGGGTTTCATTTATGTTCCAAGAATATTTTAGGGTTTGATTTGAGAGAGTTCGTATACATGCATGAGTGATAGGTGTCTTTGGGGTTATTTTACAGTAGGCGAGCCATTCAAAAAAGAGTGGTGTCGGTGCCAATCAAAGATGTTGAAGGATCAAGGCTTAAGGGCGATCATATGAGTGCTCCACCATCTGATTCTTGGGCATGGAGAAAATACGGCCAAAAGCCCATCAAAGGTTCACCCTATCCAAGGTAATTAATTAATTTCCAATTTAATGTCCTAAATTTTTTTTGTAATATTAGATAAATATTGTATGGGATGAAATTTATGAATTTCGTTTGATTATGCAGAGGATATTACAGGTGCAGTAGCTCAAAAGGCTGTCCGGCAAGAAAACAAGTGGAGAGGAGTAGACAGGACCCTAATATGCTGGTGGTAACATATTCTTCTGAACACAACCACCCGTGGCCGGCTTCTAGAAATCATCACAACCACCGTCATAAAACCTCTGCCGCCGCCGCCATGACAACAAGAAATACTACACCTTCGGTTTCTGAAGAAGAAGAAGAAGATCAAGATCAAGATCAAGATCAAGATCAGAAAGAGCCCGTAAATGTTTCCAATGAATCTGAACTCGACTCTGAAGATAAATTTTCCAATCTTGATGAAGGGTCCTTAATTAACGGTAGTGAATTTGGATGGTTCCCAGATTTTTACCCTACTTCTTGCACCATGCTAGAGAGCCCCATTTTAACTGAAGCCAGAGAGAATACTGATTCCGATATGTCTATGATTTTCACAATGCGAGAAGAAGATGAGTCACTTTTTGCTGATCTTGATGAATTGCCCGAGTGTTCAACCGTGTTCCGCCGTGAGATGGTGCAGAGAGAGGTGGCGCACAGGCGGCACAGCCTTGCAACCACCGGGTAAGATCAGCCAAGACGACATATTTGTCTTTTCTTACCAAATATTTTAATTTCAACGAGAAAGGCGTATCGTGCGCCGTGACATAACCCAGAAACTTTTCATAAAAAAAATACAATAAACTCTTAAAATATCTTAGCGTAGTGGTTAGGCAATAAATAAAATGTTAAAATGTTAATTTGAATTGAAAAATGCTACTTGTACATTAGGGGTTACATAAAGGTATCCATAATAGACACCCGACACCTCTCCATTGTATGAAGTGTCAACCCCGCCTGCACTTTATCCAATGGGGAGGTGCCGGGTGTCAATTATGAATACCCTTATGTACATCCCGATATACTTGTAGCACCTCCTGTTTGAATTTTGCTAGATGTGTACATTTTTGTGTACATTTAGCTTTACATCCCTCCCTACGTAGAGGGTGGGCATTGATGTAATTTCAAGATTCAAAATTAATGGTGTAGATGATGTCTCGTGCTATAATGTAAAATATAATGTACATGTAGGATCACTCTATAGTTGCATTATGTCATAATCTCATTGTAATTAGCACCAAAGCCGTCGATTAGAGGTAACTTTTTTGTTTTTAATTAAATTTGAAAATGAAGTGATTTATCTTGATTTTAGATAAATAATTAATATTTTGAAATTTTGTAAATTACAAAACATTTTAATTGCAATGAATGTCCTTAACTTTTATTAATTTTAACAATTATGTCTCACATTTTTATTATAACTTTATCCACAATCAATTAGTATGTCTTAAGTGAATTAATAAAAGTAAAAAAAAAAGGATCTATTTATTTCTAATCTTTCTATATATAAAAAGTGCCTATTTAACGGAATTTGTTGGTTTTACGGAAAAA